TTAGATATTCACCATCTCGTTTTATTCCCTTTGTCAGCCAATCCAAATTCTTAAAAGCATGTTCCAGCACAGTATTAAAAAATTTAGGTGACATTGAGTCTCCTTGTCTAACCTCTCGCTCTATATTTATGCGATATATCTATTAGTAGGTACTTTGATAGTGGTTGTTGCCTGTAGATATATATTGTATAATAATTTTGTAAACCTAGTCTAGCCGACATTTTTTAAGAGCCTGTAGTATTTTGCTTACCTCAACTCTGTCAAAGGTTTTATAGAATCGACAAATATTAGCACTAGAGGTATTCCACTATTTTTTTTACTAGAATTTTTATGCTTTGTACATGTTCATTTGTTCCGTAACTTTTTCGAAATCCTGACTGTTCTCTTGGTAGATATGTCTCTCATTTTCTTTCCAGTAAATGTATATCTTTAGCAATATCCTTATGTTCCATTAACTCTTTTAATTAAAATTCGTGCAACACGTATACGTTTCCAAGTAAGTGTTTGCATTGACTAAAAGTTTACACTTTAACATTGTTTCACACTATGCCTTGAGAACTGAGCAATGATTGGAGAACAAGTAAAAATAAAAAGGTAAAGTGAGTAAATAACGAATTTTTTGGAATTAATATGTCAAAACCTTTATGACAACCGAAAGAAAGTCAAAAATAAACGAAAATTGCAGCACTTATTTTTATAAAATTATCGTCATCATCCTCATCCTTTAAGGAAGGAGACATATATCTAAAACAAATTGTGTACCGTTCAAATCATGGTACTTTATCAGCTTCATAGATTCGTTTACGTTTTAAGACCGATAATTTTAGACAATTTAATGCAATTCTCCTAGTCCGAAAACAGCTCTTTGAAGATGGCGTGTTGTAATTAGTTTTTTTTTTAAATACCTCCAGAACGCTTGTATTTAGAAAAACGAAAACTGGTACGATTATTTATCCTCCAGAGTTGAATCGATTTCATCAATTGCAAATTTCTAGTACCGATCGTAGGCGTCCTTTTTGGGTAGGTCAACGGTTATTTTAACGCATAACTTTTTTGTTTTTATCTTTTAAGCATTGGCGATACTAAATTATTAACTTTTTAGTTATTCCAGTACTAAAAGGTACTCATACTCTTAAGTCGATAGAATACACCGTTTTCTAGAAAAATCGATTTGAAAATTTTTCGTTTTTTCGTCATGAAAGTTAAATTATTATTGTTTGCACTAGTTGGTCGTGAACTGTCAACAGAAGTATAATCTACGTTTTTCATTGTCAAATTGTGGTCAGTTCGTAAAGTTTATCTTTTAGTTTTTTACTTCGTGGCATTCAAATTAACAATTTCAATTCAACAAAAATTGTTTTTACTAATGAGGAATTCCCTGATATGCTTTAGTTTATAGCGAAATCAGGTGTAACGCTCGAGCAACACAACGTAGATACTCTGAAAAACTTCCTTTTCATTTTACAAAGGTACAAGCACTGCTACAAGGAGATTTTTCAGCTCGTGAAGAATTCGCTAGATGGTTACAGAATAAGAAAAATCCAAAGAAGATTATTTTCACATAAATTTTGTTTTGCGACAAAGCTACATTCACAAAAAATGGAAATTGGAAAAATGGAAATTTTTAATGTGCATAATGTATAATATTATTCCCTATTATAATTATGCCCTAATCATAGATGCCCTAAATGGTGCTGATTACTTACATTTCCTGCAAAATGTTTTACCTGATTCGTTAGATGATGTGCCTTTAAATATTCGGCAAAACTTATGGTTTTTAAACGACGAATGTCCGGCCCCTGTTAGCAGAAATGTACGAGACTTTCTTGATAATAACTATGAAGACAACTGGATTGGAAGAGGTGGTCCAGTTGCTTAGCCAGCAAGGTCGCTGGATTTTATTCCTTGCAATTATTGTGTTTGGAGATACATAAAAGCATTTGTTTATTCCATTCCGATACAAAATGCTTGCAACGAATTTCTAAATAACTTTGGAATTTTTGCAAGAATTCGGCGTTCTCTAAGTAAAAGGGCAAATTTATGCATAGAGACTTCATCACATCGAACATCTTAACTATCTACTTTTGATTCTTGTTCTTTTGTGTTAGTTTCGTTTCATCGTAATAAATAGTTTGTTTTTAAAATCCTTTAAATAAAATTTTGTTCTAATTTGATTTTTGCTTCTTTTCCTAAACTTTTTTACGAATTGTATGCCGCATTTATTGAAGCAAAAGATAATTTATAAAATTAATTAAGGTAATTATTAATTTAACTTTCATGACGAATAACAAAAAAATTTTCAAATCGATTTTTCTAGAAAACGGTGTATCCTTCCGACTTAAGGTAAGAGTACCTTTTAGAACTAGAATACCTAAAAATTTAATAATCTACTATAACGAATGCTTAGTAGTTTAAAACAAAAAATTTAAATGTATGCATTAAAATAACCGTTTACCTACCCAAAACAAACGCCTATGATCGGTACTAGAAATTCGCAATTAATGGATTCGATTCAACACTGGATGATAAATTATCGTACCAGTTGTCGTTTTTCTAACTAGAAACATTATAGAGGTATTAAATAAAAACAAATTACAAGGTGCCAACTTCAAAGAGCTCTAGCTCCCTTAGTTGACGCTCTAACGAGGCGCCGACCCCCGCT